TCACAGTTCACATGTTGTCGCAGAGTATCACCTGTAAAAGGGTCCAGACCTTTCTGGGTAATTCCAAAATGTTTTAAGGCCAAAGGTACAATAAAAACATCTTTCCTAGGACCTTTTTTTAGGACATGCATGGCAGAGATAAAAAATAGGAAAAAGGTTTGTTCTGTCAGTGATTCATGGTGGTGGGATTTCATAATGTTTTTTACAGGTGTAGGTGAGTTTCTATTTTGTCACTGGACCCTTTAACTATTCACCACAGCACAGACAAATTAAATTTATTAGGACTAAACACCGCAATTGCCCATTAGTCTAAAACGTAGTAAGTAGGCTCTTGCTTCTCGCAACCCATTTCAAGGGCCAGTTTTGATGAGCAATGCCTTGTATTGATAGGTAAGATCTACTTGATTATTCTCTGCACAGTGTCATTATTGTATCTGGAGCATGGGATGCTGGTTGATGGCTATGGTCCACTGCCCACGAACATTTAGCTAAATCATTTAGTAAGACATCTTGCATTTAGGTTGGTTTTTAATTTAACCACATGTGTTACTGTTGAGAAAATAAACTATATTACTAGATTTGGGCCTTGGTAATCTCTCAAAACTATTGATTAATTATTGAGAAAGTGATGCCTACCTTTTTGACAGTCATGGTGCTGGATTTAGTTTTTTTGGTGCTGTTGTATTTGCACATATTTTTCAACACTACCCTATCTCTACGACTAAGCCCAGGATTGGTTGAAATGCATCAGAGGGGGCAGACCTTGTTAGGGAGTCATTGTTACTGATGTACTTCCAAGAAACTGATTCAGCGTGGAACAGAGTGCGGACGGATTTCTTCTCTTATTGCATGCCTTTTGGTTGCAACGAGGCTCCTGTCAAGGTCTTTCCCCTGCTAAAGCTGTGGAGGAGCTGTGCTTTACTTTTATGCTTTCGACTACCCTGCTATTGTTATGCCCCTCTTTGTCACCCTGAGCTGGTTCCTATTCCTACCACTATTTGTCCATCACCCCTGAACCCTGAGACAAATGAATTACATTCTTACCAGAGAAAAGACCATAATTGAAGCATCAGATGCGCCTTGTTAAAATTACTTTACCCACCAACAGTTTTGCTACATGAGTCATGGCCATCACCATTGACCTTCAATGCACTCCTCCTAATCATCAACGTATACCTTTTCTAAGTCTGCATTCCCATCACTATATTTTGCTGAGATTTGAAGAAAAGCCTTGAGACACCATAACCACCACTATTGTAATTGTATTTACAGCAGAAGCCTTGCAACTAGGCACAAGTGGAGATTAAGTTGAAGAGAAATGTATACATAGAGAAATAAGGATTGGAAGGGATAAAGTGGATAAACATTTAGTGGTACCTTGGCTTAAAGTGAAAATGTCAGATTTGTTATCTGTGACTGCAGAGACAAAATATCCAGTGAGTGGCAGGCATGAATCATCTTGCTGATACTCATTCTGCTACAAGTTTGAGAGCAGCATCAATTTCTTGCTGTTTTTTTCTGATATGCTTAGTGCTACCGTGTCTACTGCCTACACATTTTCATTGTTGGTGGAGATGTACCAGTAATATTCTTTCTCGGTCCTACTTCCACTGTCTTACTTTACTTCTTTCCAGATGAAATGACATTTTATTTGAAAAGCCAGGTTTCTAAAAATGACACAACAAATGTGCAAATCAGCTTACCGACCACATGCTCTTATTGGGGATAGATCCAGTGTGCATGTTCCACTCTCAGTGTGCGCTCCTCCACAGTCAATTTCGAAACCACAATTTAACACAGTTGATTAGCACAGCCCAAGTATAAAACAACATTTTTTATTATAAGCCTTCAAAAACAATGCAAGGCAGGTACAAAAAGCATTCCCCTCTGGATGATGCGTTGCAACCACAATCCATTGTGAGCAAGCTTTCAAAAATGACGATGAAATTACATTTAAAATCCTTTTTTTTTTTTTTTTTTTTACTTGCCAGCTTGGATGGAAGCATGTATGATTGAGAAACAGAGGCTTATCACAACCAGCAATGGCAGTGAAATACATTTTTGCACTGCAGTCTGAAATCCAAACTGTATATACAGGTGGAACTCGAAAAATTAGAATATCGTGCAAAAGTTCATTTATTTCACTAATGCAACTTAGCCGTCTACCAGGAGATTTTGGAGCACTTCATGCTTTCTTCCACAGACGAGCTCTATGGGGATGCGGACTTCATTTTCCAGCAGGACTTGGCACCTGCCCACACTGCCAAATATTTTCTGAGATTGTGGATCTGGGTTTTCATGAGCAGTAAGCCATAATCATCACAATTATGACAAATCACGGCTTGAACTATCTTGCTTTGCATTTAATGAGTCTATCTCATATATTAGTTTCGCCTTTTAAGTTGCATTAGTGAAATAAATGAACTTATGCACGATATTCTAATTTTTCGAGTTTCACCTGTATGTGTGCAATGCTTTACTTTTGTATGAGAAGATAGAAAAACACTATACTGTTTGCTGTGGTGGCAAACTGAGAGAGCAGATGCTGATATCTGCTTTACATGGGATATATTCCCAATCCCCTTCCATTTTGTGAACTAGTAAAGGGTTCGGAATGTGCTGTACATCCTTAGCAGGTCAGTTGTCTCAGAGGTTGGGAAATCCCCTGCACACTCACTAGAGTTTTTAGCAATGAGAGGAAAAAAAGGAGCCTGGTCACCAGGATAGAACATGCTGTTCCCCAAAACAGCAGTTGGGTAAGGGGTCTGAAGGAACCTATTACCAGTTCATTGAAAGAATCAGGAAAACCACCTGGAAGAAAGATGAGGCGAACTACAATGATGTAGGCCAAGGTTGATAACTGCTCATGTATAGAAATGGATATTGTTTTAAAATAAAAAGCTAAAAAAGTCCTCAATTTACTCTTTCCATGTATTCCCCTACAATGAAAAGCTTTTAAGCCGTTCACAAGTCTGAAAAACTAAAGAACATTGTGCTTGTAGCCTCCTTTTCTACTTCTACATGTTTACTGATGGTAGCATTCACTAAGAAAAGTCAGTCAGTAGTAAAAAAATGTCTGGCTCAGCTCTGGCATGCTTAGGAGATCTAGTCTCATTACAACCTAAGTTTTTTTTAATTATTCCACATGTTAAAGGCATGAGGACCCTGCAAAAAGTAATTAATTTTTCTCTGGTTTTTTTTCTTTAAATTGCATTCTTGTCATTTAGATGAAAATAGTGCTCAGCACAGTTATTTTAGCATATTTATCAAACATCCATTTGAATGATAATTACAATTAATGTTATTAAGTATTATGTTACAAGTGTGAAATGTGCAGCTGAAGTGTTGTAAATATTTTTTTTAATAATTAAGAATGTTTTGATGTTATGGAACCCTGATGATAGCCTATTGTAAACACAGAGCAGGGAAGCAGAGAATGCTGAAAAATAGCAGAGAATGCTGAGCGTGCAACAAGAGCAACCTGATTGTTTCTGCATCATTCATTTTGGGATACTATACAGAATTTCATATAATTATTGTTTGTACATTATCCCAGACTCTCTCATCAAGCATATGAATAGATAATAAATAATCAGCTTTATTTCTACAATGGCCTCTGAATGGAACCTGAAAAGTGAACCTGTGTTTACTTTAAGCTACTACACCAGCATGACAAGCAAACATCGAGAAGTGATGGCATACCTTGCCAAACAGTACAAGAACTCAGAAATCTGGTGGTTCTTTATTATGAAAATACCAACATCAGTATTCAACTTCAAGCCCACCCCCTGCCACATCCATCATAACAATGGGCATCTTTATTGACTAATAGTAAGACACAGGAGGCCGGAGGGGGTGGGCCCAAATGCAACATCGGAAACAAAACTTGATATTCTTGTAACAGCATTTCTGAAAATTCTGAAAAAAATTGTAGGTACTACGAAGTGTCTGTTTATCACAGCTACTGATAGTGTATTAGCTTTTAAATTGATGCAAATTCATACTAAGGCTTTGGTGTGAGTTCTTCTTTACTTTATTTGCTATTAGCTCTGTGTCCTATGGTCTGTATTTGTTTCCCAATTCTCTATAAAAAAGTTTTTTAGCATACAACCAACTATCAGATACTGTTTACTAGAAAATATTTATTTTAATACACTAAAATAGTGATTTACATATATTGCTATTCTTAATGGTTTATCTCCAATTATGATGCTGTTATTTTAACTTATATGAAAAGGTAGGTACAATACAATAGGTACAGTACTGTATTGTAACATTCTTTATTACCTAGTATTTTATATTTTCTTTATTTTCCTTGTTCTGAAACTAGTAAAAATAGCCCGTTAAAAATATTTGCTGACTGAAAAAAAAATTTGTAAAAAGAAATGTATTCTGTTGCTGCCTAAGAGCAACCCCGCCTCCTCTTACATCCTTGGCCAGCGACCTAAGAGCAGGCGGGGCCCGCCGATAGAAGAGGAGGCGGGGCCAGGGGACAGAGGAGGAGGCGGGGCCCAGTGACCGCAGAGGTGGGCAGTGCTGACAGGTAAGAGGTGTGCAGCCCATCTGAGACCCTTCAGAGCCCACTATAGAGATAACATTTTGCTATGGAGCCCTGTGATTTCTAGTTACGCCCCTGGATAAGCTGCAATATATTACATTTTTGTTACATTAAGCTGAACTGGCTAAGAGAATTGAACTGTAGTGCTTTTGCTGTAACATTTGGGAATGAATTACACCACAGTGCCTACAAGGGTCAGTTGAGGCTTATTTTAAAGATCATTCACTGCTTGTTAAGAAAATGTAAATACTTGAATGTCCATAGCATGGTCCCAGGTTCCTGTTCAGTATTTTCTACATCATTCTTCAATTATTTACTCATGCAATGTCAGTTTTACATAGTAATGAATACAGAAACTACAGAACATAATACCAGTAACATAATTACCCTTAAAATATCTGTTAAAGCTGAAATGTTTTCTTCTTTTTTTTTTACATCCCAGGAACTAAATAGCTTTAATTATTTGGACTTGTACAAACTGGCAGACCTTTTTAATCTAACCTTTCTGGAGGGAGCAGTGGTGGACTTTCTTGTAAAGCACTTGTCTGAACTTCTGAAGACTCATCCAGAAGAAGTTCTTGCACTACCTTTCCGTCTCCTTAGAGAAGTTCTGAAAAGCGACCAGTTAACATCACTTAGTGAAGAACAAATATGGCAGGTGAGTAACAATGTCAAAATACATATGTTTCCAGAAATGAATTGATACCTTAGATTCACTGGCTGTAAATAAGGTTTGTCTTCATTACAAGCATAGCCAGATAATCTTATCATTCTGCATCATGATGCTTTAAGTGGGATTTTGACTACCTTCCTTAAACCCTTTCACATGGGCACCTGTCAGTTCCAATCAGCAGCGAATTTGTGCACGGATCCACAGGCCCCAATGGAGGAAAAACATAACTTACCGGACCAATGTTAGGACTATTTACTGTATATAAATGGACATATGTGCGTTTACATCAGATTACCCCAATCTGTCATGATCGGGTCCGCCAAAACGGAACCCTGTTGCATTTCCTTTTCTGGACCTGGACCAGTGGGGGGTAATCTGATGTAAACAGACACATGTCCTTTTAGTTTCAGCTGCCCATAGAGTAACATTGTGCTTTCAGTCACATCCTGAACGGACCACCCGTCTGAAAAGGGCCTTAAGCACAAGCATTCCTGGAGCACGGGAATTATTGATGCTCCAAATAGTACTTTTATAAAGTAACACAGTGTATGTGGCATGCTAACTCTATGCAGTTATACAGGTCTGAAAGCATCTACCATGGTTTTGTTTGTTGCCATATGCTGTACATTGAAGGTACAATTGCATGTGGCTTGTTTTCGTGAATCATAGCTTAGTAAACCTTTAATATATACAGTAACATTGGCCAATTAGCAGTTTCTAAACATTTCTCTTTTTTTATGTATTCTTTCCCAAAACTTTGTTAAAAAAAGATTTTTTGAATGGATGCAAAGGTTGCTTTTTGTGACTAGAGCACTTCTGGTGTAGGTGGTGCGTAGTGGATGGGATAGGAATGTAGACAGAAAAGGTTTTATGCCTACAGGCTTTCATTCCATAAAGTATTGTAGACTACAAGGAAAAAAACACATAATTAGAAAAAGATAACGGCTCAGAAATGTGTGAACATGAAACACATATTTCCTGGCTTATTTATTAAAAAACAAGATCTGTTTGTAACTCATAAAAAGCCACCTGTTTAGAGCAGCTTGAACAAGTAAAGATCATTTGTGATTGGTTGCTAGGTGAATTTTCCACACTATTTTTTTAAATATATAACGTTTTTGGAGCCTTATAAGTGCAAATATTGTGAGGAGTGTGGTGACACACAATAACCAATCAGATTTAACCTTTCTTCACTTATAAGAGGTCAGTACATTGAAAATGATTTCTGAATATTTGCTATAAGTTACTACATGTGTTACATAGCTCGTTGCTTTATTAAATGTAATGTAGAGAGTGCCATTGTTGGGTACATCAAATGGATTTTTTTCCGTTTAAAGCACACTTTTATATAAACAGATATGCAAAAGAAAATAAATGTGGGGTAAATTTAACAAAAAATGGACTAAGGTAAAAATGGGTTGTAGCTTTACAAATGTTGATATGTGGTACCTGTGTCCAAATGAATATTTTAGTTTTATACCTTTTTTTTTTCAAGTTGTTGAGTGACAGTGGTGTATGCAGCATCCACTTATTAGTTATCATTACTGCCTCTCTAAAGATACTAATGTTGTTATACACATTCTCCAGTTTATTGCTGGAGGCTATACTTTTTATTCATGGTCACTGAGAATGAATTAACAATGACCATAAATATCAACCACTTTAGTGCTGTTTTTCAGCAGGCAATAAGGATTTATTTTGTTTTATCTTAGTAAATAAGTAATTCACCTTCAGAAAAAACCCAATAGCGCGGAATTAAATTTAGACCTGTAATATTGCCTGAAGAATAGCCAAGTTCACCATTTTTGCAAAGGTTATACTAGTAATGTAATATACCCTGTATGAATCTAATATGCATCAGAGGTGAAGGCTGGGGAGAACTGTGGATTAGCGTCACAGTGTTTTATATAAGCCATGTGTGATGGACAGGCTGGAGACAGAGCTACTGAATCTCATTATATTGCTGTATTGTTTGTTACTGACTACTCTCAGTGAAATGAAGTACTCATTGACGTTGACAAATTTCCATCCTATATGTCTTCAAAGAAAATCAGCCTAGTGAATGGTCCTCTAAGGAGATTTCCTTGATCTATGGTAAACTGTTTACATGTTATTAACTTTCTTGCATCCCAAAGCTCTCAATCCACCTTCCAGCATAAGTTTGTTGGTATTAGTTAGTAATTACACTATTGTCTTTTTTTATATTAGCACAGTAAAGATTATGTTTAGAACAGAAGGTATTTACATGTCTCATTCCATCACATATCCCCAAAATAAAAGGATTATTCCTCATCTTAGGACAGTGGGTGAAGCCATTCCAATCCTTCTTTTATGCCACATGAGCTGCATGCACATCCAGAACCGCTGGTGTATAGGGCAAATATAGCCTAATATTATAAAGCCATTTTTTTCCAAACTGCATACAGCTCTTTCAGGCTTTTTAGCGAGTGTATCGAAACCATGGGATCTATAGAATAGGACTTGGGACCCAACAAGACCGTATACCAATACAGGTTATGTTAAGAAGGGAGTTAAAGGAGAACTATCGGGTTTAGGCTTTTCCCCATAGTTCTCCTTAGGGTAACGGGAGGACACAAACTAGCATCCTCCCATCACCCTAGTGTACTGAGACGCGGCAGTATACCGCAAGCTGTATACCGCGAACTGCGGTAACTGAGACGCCGCAGCTGAAGCGGATCCCGACAATTGTGCCGGGATCCGCCCAGCTGCGTGACTGACAGCTGGCTCTGCCTATGTAGAGGCAGAGCCAGCTGTACCTGCCACCTCCCCCGTCCATTCCGCCAGTCAGCGCTGGAGGATCGGAGGGGGGAATCCAGCCTCTCCCCTGTCACGGCAGAGAGCCGTAACAGGATCGAGAGGTAATCTCAGAAATGTCTCAAACTGATGTCCAACTGATGCCATCAACACAAGCCCAAAGTGTGTTAACACAGGCCCATAAGATAATTTAAATCAAAAGCATCTATAGCAAAAAATAAAAATGGGTCTTTAAGTGCACCAACACTTTAAATAATCCTGTTTTTGAAATATATACAGGTGAAACTCGAATAATTAGAATATCGTGCAAAGTTCATTTATTTCACTAATGCAACTTAAAAGGTGAAACTAATATATGAGATAGACTCATTACATGCAAAGCAAGATAATTCAAGCCGTGATTTGTCATAATTGTCATGATTATGGCTTACAGCTCATGAAAACCCCAAATCCACAACCTCAAAAAAGTAGATTATTACAGGCAATCAATAAAACAAGGATTGTACATAGAACAATATCGGACCTCTGAAAAGTACAAGCATGCATATGTACTCAGTACTTGGTTTGGGCCCCTTTTGCAGCACTTACTGCAATTTCTTTTGCATGATATTCTAATTATTCGAGTTTCACATATATATGCTGTACTGGATCTGTGCACCTTGTTTACAAATTGTGTAAACTTGTCCTCATTGCTATGTCTTAACCACCCACCAAGACCACAGCTTGCCAACCCCCACTCTGTAGTCTTATAACGACACCATCACCAATGTCAAACTGGAAATATGCTATACTTGTTACCTGAAAAAAAGACTGCAAATACTCACTTCTCTTGCTGAGCACAACTCTGTTGCTAAGGAATCATTCACAGATGTCTGCAGGGAGACTGATACTGTGTCTCATCAGTGCAGGGAGAGTGTAGATCTTCTGTGTCTCAGCAGTGCTCACTGATTCTTCCTGCTGACATTCACATCACTTCTGTGCCCTGTAGTGATATTAAGGTTGGCAGAGGGAACAATTGTGAACTCAAGGGGAGACACAGGAGATAAACACTCCCAGAAGTGTTGGCGTCCCAGCAGACTTTGGGGGACAATTCCATAGCAACCGAGCGGTGTTCCGCAGTGCAGGCAGCAGGAGAGGTGAATAATTACAATCTTCTTTTAATGCAGCAGGTTTATTCTCAGCTGGATAGTGGTGGTGACAGGGTTGCTTTAGGAATAATTTCAGTTTAAAAATACTATAATTGTAGCAGCATAAACATACTAATGTCATTGTTTACATATCACTATTACTTTATTATAGATATATACTTCATTACTTCATTACTACTACTTCATTACTACTGTATACAGTTTCCTCCCTCTAATAGTTTCTCTCTGTGTTCTGAAAATATATGTGCACATTACTGCTACTTTTACTCTCTCTCTCTTTGTTTCTCTCTATGTTTGATTGAGCACATACCTGACAGTTACTGAAACAACATATTATGTGGATTGAACAAGTCAGTGTAACATGGCCTGTGTAACACCACACATGGAAAATTTAGCAGGACCTTCGTAAAATTGAGTATATACAATACAAATAATAGCTATTTTGTAGTGCTGTTAATGATTAAAATTCTCAAGTTCGATTAATCGAAATTCTTTTAATCGATTAATTTCGATTAATTATAATGCACATACAGAAATCTTGTCTAAGCAACAATGGTAATGGGGACAGGGCCACACACAGAAATGTAAAAAAACTTGGCGCATTTTTCATTGTGTCAGGTTTTGTTACCCACCCCTTATGCGTCTGCTTCAAACTAGCCCCTTCCACCCCCCAAAGGTTACCACTCCCTTATCAGCAACATAAACAAATAGAATGTTTAAAAAATTCTCAGGAACAGGCACTGTAACTTGTACTGTAATACCACATTTCATCATTCTATTGTTCCAGGTAATTGTTTTCACATTTGCCACATTCTACAGTTATATTTCAAACATCTTTTTGCCACAAACAAACATGGCGGCTTCACTCTCCCTGCGTACACGTTCCCCATCACGTGACTCTCAAACCTCGGAGTTGGAAAGAGCTGCTCCTCCAGGATTCCAAATGCTTTTGTTTTCCTCTCAACATGACATGACGTGACATGAGGCACAACCTTCTCTGTTCGCGTTCCCGTTACCATGGATACTAACAGAAGTCGGTCTGTCACCCGTACATAGACTTCC